GTGGTTTATGAGTGAGTGGCTGCAGCACAGGCATTTAACCACTGCACCTCACATCAACTGCTTCAAATTTCTACTCGATTCAGTGAGAGGGGGGATAGATGAGGAGAGGAAGGGGCAGAAGCTTGCTCTTCCCAGTAGACTCAGGCAAAAGCAAACTGCTGCAGCCTCTTTGAGCCTGTGTGTTAATAATTTTTGGCCCCCTGACCACACTCTGCCTTTGCTTGATGCAGTTTCATCTTTGAAATGGAGGGTAATATCATACATTTCTGTTTTTGAGCAGCAGAAATGGCACACCACTCCCATTCTTGCCTTAAATACCCACTTTGCCTAAGCATCCCTTTCTGAGGAATATCTGATAAGATTCATCTTCTTTCTCTTTTGGTAGAAGTTGAATTTGGCTACTCTACACAATGCCTCCTTGTTTCCTTCCTTCCCGCTCCTGCTAATTTCATCAAAAGTTTCAGGGCATGGATGGGTGTCATTGTGTATTCTAAAAGACACGAGACAAAAGAAATGAGCAAATTCCTCCAGAATTAGCATATTGTCGAAGGAAGAAGAGTTTACGGGAAGATGACAATGACAATTAGGACAGAGGACTTTATCACAGAGCCAGCATGGTGTAGTAGTTTGAGTGTTAGACTGTGACTCAGCTATGAAACCCATTGGATGCCCTTTGGCAAGTCACATACTCTCAGCCTCAGGGGAAGGCAATGGCAAATCTCCTCTGAACAAATCTTGCCAAGAAAATCCCATGTTAGGGTCACCATAAGTCAGACTAGAAGGCATACAACAGCAACAGACTTTATCACACCAGCCTGCCGTCTTGCCACAATCGTGTTAGTTTAAGGAAATGGAAAGAGAACATTTGTTATCAGACTGCTCTGCAATAGCACTATGGTGCTGCTTTGGTGATCTATGGCTCTCTCTTCCTTATGGCCTCCATAACTGTGCCTTCGTGTCCAATGCCCTACCCAATGTGCCTTTTAGTTTTTATTGTTTTTATTTTTTTGTTTTTACCACAACGGCACAATTATGGCAATGCAATGAAATTTTTAAAAAGACAAGAGGAAAGGAGAGAACTAGAAAAGGAAAGGCAAACAGTCTGCTTGGGAATAGCAAGGGGGAGAGGAGCAGATTCTTACCCACTCACATGACACGACTGCCTGAGTGAGAAGTGGAACTGCAGCAGGAGACACTTATCGCATGGAAATCTATAATGGAAAAGCAATGCAAAAAGGAACGCTCTAGGAACGGGTAGAATGCAAAGCAATAGTAGGACAGACACAATGGTTGTGTGATAAGTTATCAGCCCACACACCTGGGATGATCCTGAACTTGCAACTCTATGGGTAGTAGATTGGGATGGACAAAGAGGCTGTTTCCTGAGAAAGAGGAAATGAGGGGAGTGTTCCTTCTCACCTATTCAGGGAGAAAGGACTTTATTGATTTGCTACTGCAACTTGCAAATAATCTCAGGGTGGGAGGGGAGTCCACTCGCTCATTGTTGTGGCACCAGGGCTCACCCTCCACTCTGCTGTGCATCAACCGTCTAGCTAGAAGCATGTAGGCCCCTAGGGCCATTTAAATGATCCTTCTTTTTTCTTCCTAAGTAGGTGAGAAGGAACAACCCCCCCTTTTTTTTTACCTATCTCAGTAAACAGCCTCTTTAGCAAAGATGTGTCTCTTAAGCCTCAAACAGGAAAATGTATTTTCTTTAGAATGACAAGCTGTGAGCAACTGTGGATGATACTTAATACATGGTGCTTAATGACATCACTGGGACTGTCTCTAGGTCTCAGGTTTTTGCCCATCTGTAATGGAAAAGCAATGCAAAAGGAGTGCTCCATGAATGGGTAGAATGCAAAGCAGTAGCAGGACAGACACAATGGTTGTGTGAAAAGTTATCAACCCACACACCTGGGGACCTGGGATGATTATGAACTTGCAAATCTACTGGTGATAGATTGGAATGGACAAAGTATGGCTGACAAGCCGCATATATACCCCAGGGCCAATTGTGTGGTCTGCCTCCCAGTAGTCAAAACAAGTCCCCAAATGCCTTCTGAGGGGTATAGGGGGGATTTTGACACAGCTATGTGTCACTCTGTTCTGGGATTAGAACGAGGTGCCCAGCAACAATCACATAGCTGGGCACCTCATTCTCACTCCAACGCAAGCGACTGGTGGGCAGTAGCAGATGTGCCAAGTGGCATAGTGGGATGGGGACGCAGACAGATCTGGCACTGGAATAAAGGGCTCCTGATCTTCCCAGAAGATTCAGAGTAAGTTTTTAAAATTTATATTAAGGGTGTTGTCCAGACTGTTCACACCAGAACCAGGGTTTGTACCATGCATCATCCGGATGCCACCATGATGGTGGTGGTGGAGAAATGGATGGGCCTTTTAGCCAGTGCAGACAAGTTCCTAGTTTTCATCTGTGAAATGTCAGAGGGTATGAAAATGAGATTAGTGAAGAACTACACAAGGTGCGCAAAAGTAACTTTTTACTATTGGACATGCTGGCTGGTGGAGTCTAGGAATTTTAGTTGGGAAAAATTAAGCTTTTCCAAGTTGGGATCATTTTAAGCATGCAGTTGTCATGTTCACAGCTAAAGCAGAATGGAAGGAGGTGGGTAGGAAAGATCTGCTTGTGCAAAAAAGAAGAGCATGTGAAGAGAGATGAGCTAAACCTTTCGCCTTTCCTACTTCACTGCTCTGTGCTCTATAGGTTTGTGCATTTTCCTCCTCATCTGGCTCTCCTGTAGCTTAGGAAAAACTGCTTCCCATTGAATGGGTAGGACAGGATGGTACTATGAAGCTGATTTTTAAAAATGAGCTGGAATTTTGCAAATGTTACAAAATACACACTTTTATATCATTTTGTTTCAAGTGTAGTAAGGGAGGCAGGAAGAACTCTGGAGGCAATCTGGTATTTATTTTTGATATTCTCAGCTAGACCCAATTGTAGAAAGGAGTCTGTGTACTCAAATCCCTTATTTCTTTTACCCAAATGGAATTGCTTTTTTTGCTTCATTTCTCCCCCTCTCTGCCTCACAAGTTATCTTTGAACATCTGTGTAGAACTGTATAGTTTTTCCAGCTGGATGGAACCTAAACTACATTTCCCACCTCCCTTTTGTGATCTTTACCTTTTTACCCCATAGATTCATATAGGACCTTATCACACAGGGCCCAATGCAGTCAGAATCCAATAGAAATCCTGACCTGATACGTATTATTTTTCCGTGTTTCCACACGGCGTCGCTCAGAACCCCGACAGAACCCTGTCACAATGCGGCATGATCCGAGTTCTTTTGAATTTCATTTTTTTGGGGAATTGCAATTGCATGACGGGAATCATTTTGCTTTTGCTGCAAGCATGGTGACCAAATACGTATCACCAAATACGTATTGGTGAGCCCGTCATCGGAGCGCCGCCTCTCCAAGGGGGAACCTCCTCGGAGCGCCGATCCGACGCAGGGCCGGTGCTTCAAGGAGGACCTCTCCAGAGCGCCGGCTCTCTAAGGGGGACCTCCTTGGAGCGCCGCTCCGACGCAGGGCCGGCACTCCAAAGGGGACCTCCTCGGAGTGCCGATCCGATGTAGGGCCGGCGCTCCAAGGAGGACCTTTTCGGAACGCTAGCTTGGGAAGGGGTGACAGCCGTGGCAAATGACAGCCGCGGCTGTATTGCGCATGTGCTAGAACATCATTTCTTGTACATGTACGGGATTTTCTCACTTGTGTGTGAACGGCAGATACGCTTTCCTTAAAAGCACAATGACAGTGATTGCGTGTGATAGCCATTTGCGTATTGTAGGGTTTCTATCGGTTTTGCTCTGGATTTATTCTTTTATCGCATTATTATCACTTTGTGACCCCCGTGTGATAAGGTCCATAGAGAGAATGGATTAGGTAAGAAAAGCAACATCCAGTCTGTGTAGAACTTCTTAGATCTTATGTAGCCAGTGTGGTGTAGTGGTTTGCTCATTGGACTAGGACACTGCAAGACCAGGGTTCAAATCTCTGTTCAGCCATAGAACCCACTGGATAACATTGGGCAAGTCACACTCTCTCTGCCTCAGAGGAATACAAAGGCAGCCAGCCCCCCTCTGAACAAATCTTGCCAAGAAAACTCTGTGGTGAGTTTGCTTTAGAGTCACCATAAGCAGAAATGACTTGAAGGCACACAACAACAACAAAACTCACTCTTCCTCTTCCCCTTCCTATTTATCTTTATTCTGCCTTTCCTCCCAATCTGGGACTCAAGTTGGCTTACAATAATTAAAACATATGTAGCTAAATAAATTGGAGAGCTAGTGTGATGTAGTGGTCTGAATGTTAGACAAGACCAGGGTTCGAATCACCACTCAAGTTGTTCTCAGCTTGTGGGAGCAAAATAACCACAGAATTTACATGGCCAGCATATACAGATATGCTTGCAAATAGGAGTTGTCTTGCTTCTCGCTGTGGCACAACTTCTTCCTGTCCACAATGCAAATAATGGGCATACAAATCAACAGAGAACATGTTGATTACATTGTCTGCCTTTTCAAACAAAAATCCATCAGGGATACCTTTATTGGCCAACCAAAACGCACAATATACTTGTTGCAAGCTTTCGAAACTCCATGGGCTGCTTCGTCATCAGGCAAGCTGTTACAAACCAAACAGAGAAAAACAATTGGAGATTGTTAGTCAGATGTCTACATGTTATTTCAGTCTTTAGTTAAGATGGTATATGATGGGGAGGGAGGATATCTTTTGTAGGCAGGATCCTCCTCCTTCTGGCCCTGTGGCTATAGGGAGATTTGCAAAGTCCAGGAAATTTAAAATCCATTTAAAAGAGGGATCCCTCTTTTGCAATCCAATATGTCTCCATTCCAGTGAGGTCACAGGCTTTGTTCTGCCTTTGTTCATTCATTAATTTATTCTTTCATTTATCTACCTCTTCTTTCTCCCATCACCCCAACAGCAGTGTAGTGTCTAGGTTGAGGGAAGTAATAGTGTCACACTATTTTGCTTTGGTCAGATCTCACCTGGAATACTGGTTTCAGTTCTGGACACCACAGTTCAAAAACGATATTGATAAACTGGAGCATGTCGAATATGCTCCAGCATTTTACAGATGAACTGGAACATGTGGAATGGCCAAACAACACCAGAGTGTGGTCAAGACGGCAAACGTTATGAGCCAAAACAGAAAGGTTAGGAGCAGCTTGCTTTTGCCTGAGCCTTCTGAGAAAGACAAGATCCTGCCACCTGCTCGCCTTTCCCCTTGCTGGGTTGAGTACAAACTACTTCTGCACTTTGAATTCATTTATAGCTTTAGTCAAATAAAGCTGAAGACAAAGGGTGAAAGTGGGAGGAAGGAAGAGAAAGAAACAGACATTTTAAAAGCAGTTGAAAAAATAGGACAACTGAGGATTAACCTGGACTGTCCCTGCTAAACAGAGACAGTCGGACAGTATGGCAACATGAGAAAATGGGTTGATGGAAACATCTCCCAGAACCAGTGTGGTGTAGTAGTTTGCACTAGAGCTCACCAGACCAGGCTTGCCCTTGGGAAATCACAAGCCTTAACTTTCAGTGGCAAATCTCTCTGGATAAATCCTGCCAAGAAAACCCTATGATGGAATCACCATACATCTGAGTCAACTGGAAGGCACTGACAACAAAAAAGGTCTCCCATTATGTCTTCTCTGTGTCAGGAAAAAAATGACTTGGCCCCATATCTCTGTAGGAAAAAAGTGGCAACTCTTTTTATTTCCTTTTTCCCTTTTGAATGAGACCCTTGCTGGCCATTTTGTTAACTGGAGGACCCTGATTGCTAGATCAATCAGCTTGACCTCTTCCCTTGGCTCCCAACATCTTTGAGAAAGAACCTAATGAACTGGTTGTCACAAGAGCAGCAAAGAGGAACATAAAGACCTGCTAATATATTATGGCATAAGCTTTACAGACCAGCAGGTTCCAGACTGCAATAGCTTATATAATAGAATCATAGAGAGTTTGAAGACACCACAAGGACCACCCAGTCCACACACACACACCCCATGCAGGAACTCACAATGAAATTATCCCTGACAGATGGCCACCCAGCCTCTGTTTAAAAACGTTCAAAGAAGGAGACTCTACCACTTTCCAAGGCAGTGTGTTCCACTGTCAAACAGCTCATACCATCAGGAGGTTCTTCCTAATGTTGAGGTGGAATCTCTTTTCCTGTAGCTTGAATCCATTGCTCCAGGTCCTATTCTCTGGAGCAGCAAAAAACAAGCTTGCCCCATCCTCAATATGACATCCCTTCAAAAAATTTAAACATGACTATCTTGTCAACTCTTTACCTTCTCTGCCCTAGGCTAAACATATCCAGTTCCCCAAGCTGCACATCATATCATACCAATAAAATTCGTAGTCCTCATAGTACTGCATGCCAGAGCTTAGACATGTTACTTTCTCGACTCTCTTGGCTGGGGGATTCTGGAATTTGCCATCAAAAATGGTAATGTTTCTAAGGACGTTATCACACAGGGGAAATCTGCTGGTTAATCCACACAAATCCCAAATAGAAACTGGATTTGTGTCTCACGATTTCACACGACGTCGCACAGAAACTGAACAGAAACTGGACAGAAACTGGTGTTATCCGAGATCTTTGAAATTCGGTAGTTGAGGAAATGCATTTGCGAAATTACAGTAATTTCGCATTTACTGTAATGTGAAAAGCAAATGCGCATTTGGGAGCATTTCCCTGCTTTTCCCATGGTTCCAGTGAGCATTCCTCTATCTGCGCATGTGCAAGAAGATCATTTCTAGTACATTTACGGGCTTTTCTCATTTGTGTGTGAATGTTAAATGCGCTTACTGTAATTTTGCAAATAAGGTAATTACGTGTGAAAGCCATTTGCGGAATCAAGGTTTATTTTCGGTTTATTTTCGGTATGCCTCATTTCCACTTTATTATCGCTTTCTGGCCCATGTGTGATAACATCCTAAACTTTGTTCCTTCCACTACAAACAGTACAACCTGAAATTGTGTCAAGGTCATGGCTGGTTGTAGATCCCTCTCCCTCAGCGTAGCACCTGCTGAGATTTGCTCTCCATGGCCACCATCCCCATTTCCTCCCCCCATTGTTTGGCCTGGATTGATCTGTTTGGTTTTAATCTTTGCACATGACCCAAAAGCCCATTATTGTATTCTGGCCTTTTCTTTTCTTTTCCTTTCTTTCCCGCCTGTACTAATGTTATCAGCTTCCTTCTTAAACTGAGGTGCCCAGGACTGGACAGGGTGTGCTAGACAGGGAGCTTTCTGCAACATTGCATAATCTTGGTGTCCATCTGTACCGATCAATGTGAGAAGGAATCTTTTTATAAAAAGCACATTCTTTGCACGCTTGTGGCATGAGGGGATGGTGCAGGAATGGAGGAAAGAGTTGGCCCCCTGCAGTCTTTGTGAATGGACCATTCCACTGCCAAGTTGTATTAAGAGCTTGTGAAACAGCTACCTCCTCCAAGCATTGACACCTCTGATTTCAATGGGCATCAGAACCTCCCCTGGCATAAAATGGTGGAGGCAGTTGTGCATATTGGAGAAATCAGCTTGACCTCAAAAGAGATTCTTTGATAAATGTCTAGGTTGATGATTCAACAGTGGTTGTTAAATTTCAGGACCTGGTCTCCTAGGATGGAAGTCTGTTAACGGTTTGAGACTCATCACCAGAACTTCATGCCACTTCACTTGAAGGGAAGGAACATCATAGGGGTGGAGGAACCTCTCTGTAGATTGAATGTTGAGTGCATTTGCTAGCCAAAGTTATTTGGCAAAGAAGGTTTGGTCTTAGAGGAGCCATTCATAGGAACAGGGCTATCATTAGGCAGAACAAGGATCCAGCTTGTTAGCTATTTAATCTCCTGCTATCACTGTTATTACTGCCAGAGTTGGGAAGAAGTGCTTTTGAGTTTTTCTCTTTTATACACTAACACAAATTGTCTGGGTTTGGATACTGTAGAATCTTGATCTGGGCTGGCCTTGGCTGCACTAGGAAAGAGTTTGTCAGAATTCTTGGCAGATCCTACCATAAATGGGGATGGATGTTCTTTTTCTTCTGTTTTGCTTCTGGTTTTGTGATTGAGCCGTTGTTATTGATTGTAGCCTGTTTAAGCAGTAGTACAATAGCATCATATGCAAAGCAGGTGTAAAATCAGAGGCAGGAGGAGTGAAGATTGGAGATAGGAACATTAACAACCTAAGATACAGGTGACACAATACTATTAGCAGAAACCAACAAAGACCTAAAGTAACTATTGAAGAAGGCCAAGGTGGAAAGTGCAACACTTGGCTTGATGTTGAACATTAAGAGAACAAAAATAATGACCATGGAAGATCTACTAGACAGATCATCCTAGATAATGAGAAAATTGAAATAGTCAAAGAGTTCCCATACCATGGTTCAAACATAAATCAGAAAGGACAGTAGTCAAGAAATTAGAAAAAGGCTACAATTGGGAAGGGCAGCTATGAAAGAAATGGACAAGAGCCTAAAGAACAAAGACATACCTCTGAACACTTAAGTGAGTATAGTCCAAGCCATTGTATCCCCATCACCATGTGCTGATGTGAGAGCTGGACAGTGAAGAAAGCTGACAGACAGAAAATAAACTCTTTTGAGACGTGGTGCTGAGGATATCATGGACAGCCAAGAAGACAAATAAATGAGTTCTCAAACAGATCAGGCCCAAACTCTCTTTGGAAGCTAGGATGATTAAACTGAGGCTATCGTATTTTGGCCATGTCATGAGAAGGCATAAATCATTAGAAAAACAATAATGCTAGGGAAGGCAGGGGGAAGCAGAAAGAGAGGAAGACCACATGCTAGATGGATGGACTCAAATCAGAGGGGCCTCAGGCCTGAGGCTGCAGGACCTGAGCAGAGCAGTAGAAGACAGTAGGTCTTGGAGATGTCTCATCCATAGGATTGCTATGAGTTGAGGTTGATGAGGACAGTTAACAACAACAATAACAATAGCATCTATAAAA